GCCCACGCACGCACGTGTGTGTGTGTATACCTCACTCGCCACTCAAAGTTCTGTTCCCCATTACTGGAACACTGCCTGTTCTTTCAGGACCTGCCATCATCTGCGGATGGGCATTCAATGATTGTATTGTGTGTGTGTGTTTCATTCAGAATCAGATCCGCTATCGTTGCTATAAGAGAACATCTGTGGGTTCACATCCAGTGCATTTTTAGATTTGCGTGCTTTTCTCGCCACGGGCGCATACATGGGACATTGTGTGTGTGTGTGTGTGTGTGTGTGTGTGTGTGTGTGTGTGTGTGTGTGTGTGTGTGTGTGTGTGTGTGTGTGTGTGCGTCTGTGTGTATGGGGATATTGTCTGTATCGGCTTTTGGTACTAATGTTCAGGTCTGTGCTTGCATGTGTGAACATGAAATTGTTCGGTTCTGTGCATGCTATTGCTATGTTGTATATTATTGTATGTATGTGTGCATTTCCACGAACAGTGTAGATGAGCGTGGAGAGTGCATTCATCCCTCATCAACCACTTCCCCTTGGGCTTACGAGAGTTTTTTCTGCGTACCTCTCATTTTTGTTTGTTTCTCTTTGATACTGTATTGATGCCGGTACCTGTACCTCGATGTGTTCCTCTATCTGCAGTCGCCTTTATCCTTCGGTCAAGTTAACGTTTGTGCTCTATTTATCGTGCGAATCAAAATAAACAATAATAACACAAGTCATGCTAGAGTGACGACATGTGCGTGTAGTAGGGTTGATGCGATGGGACGTTATAATTAGGTGGAACAGAAAACGCATTGGGCAGATTGATTGGGCATCATTAATTGTGCTCAGTCTAAACAGTGAACATAATAATTATCTCCAGTGACAGACTGTAGCGGCTAGCCTCCAATAGGTAGCTGGCACTAGTCGCTACTGCTTGTTTGACAGGTGCCGCCAGAACCCCTGTTGTGTCATGCTATAGATGCACATGCCCTATTCTGGGGCATACTGAGGTACTTTGATTTTGTTGACTGCATGTAGACAGCATCCAATAGTAGTACTCGTAGACCTTGGGTCTTTGTAGGTCAACCACCATCGCATGGATCGATCGGTGACTATGCACTTGGAGGTTGGAATAGCCCGCGCTGAACAGATCTTGCCATGGCCCAGGGAGTGAACTCGCTTACTCGACTATCCCGGTTTTAGTTAACCAGCATGAGTGGTGCAATTTGTCCATACCATTTTGCGAGCTCACAGTTGTTTGGGCAGGTTTTGAGCTGCACCACGAAACAAAGCGAAATAACGGCGTGACTGTAGAGCAAGGAAGCGGCGAGACGGCACTTCCAGGACGAGACAGGCAGTAGAGATGTGTTCACAGCACGAGCAACCTCTCAAACCCTGCCGGTACTCCACAGTTACAAGAAAATGTCGGACTGGACGACGCGCCAATGCAAACCTGCTACATCCACCCAGGCAGATAGCTGCCAAACCAGGCCAATGTCGACCCACTGCATACCGGTATGTCAATGTCAAACAGATCCTGCAGGAGAAGACTGGGATGATATTGGCGTCCAGTATACGGACACCAGTCACATTTCCTGCGTCTTTTGCAGCATACAGGATAGACTCATCACTATAAAGTCCACTAGTTCGTGATTTTTATTTGTAGAATTCATGACAGGCGTATTCAGTGTGTCTCGCAGGACTGCGAGATGCTACAGAAGACCAGGTTCGACCTTTCTGGACCGCCATTCACCGACGGTGGGCTACACGATGCTGGAGGAACTAGATTCCAGTGAAAACCCAAGATTCCTTTGCTCCTGGACGCTCCGACGTGTTGTGATATCTGCCAGGTGTGCAGTAACTAGTATTTTCATCGCTATAGCGAGGACGACGCCGATCGGCAAACTCTCGCTCACAGCTATCACCAGCCTCTCAAAACCATCATTTAGCATCCCCCAGAGGTATAGGAGAAAGCCAAAACAGCTCTCAACAAACAAAAGCTAAGGACGATGGAAAGAGAGCATGTCAAAAAGAAGACGAACAGTATGAAGTTCAAATGGGTTTGAACACTCGTACCACCAACTATACCACTTTCAATAAATCGTGACGCCATTTTGTTTTAACACGCATACGGTCCACTGCGAGCACAGAGAAATCAAAAAACTTCTTTCTGTTCTGAACAACTGTAACAGATTCACTGTTACTACTAACACTAGGAATAGGATACACTTATCACCTGCTATTATCACGCTGCTGCTGTTAGGTGTTATGTCCATCATTGCTTGTTCATGTACAGTCAGACCTTGCATAACCGCACACATCCGTTTTCCACAAAAATATCCGGATAGGCGAGGGAACCGGATAATCGAACACACATACTATATGTATGCATAACATATGCTGTAAATCGGTAACCAGCGATTTTCTTCCGGATGGCGAGGGATCCGGATAAAAGAGGACCGGATAAGCGAGGTCTGACTGTATATAAGAATGCATTATGGCAAGGATCATTGCTTATTCCAAGAATGACTACTGAAGTTAGTTGGACTGTTACACTGGTAGCAAGAGGATGGTTTTTCTTTTCGTCATGTTCGGGCTATGCGCAGTGGCCGCATTAGTCGCCTACGGTATATTCGAGATTCAGAAACGTCTGAATCACCTTATCGCACTCGGTCAGTGCGATGGATCAGATCAAACGCCAAGACGTGCTCAAGCTCCCAGCGGAGAGAGGCCACGCATGCGCCATGTTAAGTCTCCGCCTGTGTTTCGTGGAGATACAAGAGAGTTCAAGGAGTGGGCCTTCGCCATCGAACTCGCCATGAAGTCCCTGCAGCTGGATAACGCGGAGGAGCGCTTGAGCTACGCGGCGAGTTTTCTGGAGGGCAACGCTCGTCTTTGGTTTATCGCCTCTCAGGAGGCAAACACGCTGTTTTCCGACTGGCCAGACCTGAAGAGCAAGCTGGGAGAAGTGTACGGCCCGGTTTATGACAGGGAACAGGCGCGCATCGACTTATTCGCTCTTCACCAAGATGAGACTCTTGACGAATTCATCAACAAATTTTCGCGGCTTAGCTTACAAGTTCCCGAGCTTGATGACCACTCCAGAGCTATCTTGTTCACGCGTGGGCTGGCTCAGGGCCTAAGCGGTGAGGTACTTAGGGAGCATCCGCAACATTTGGCCCAAGCCATACGAGCTGCGGTCTCAGCAGACCAGTCGATGCGGCTAGCCCAAGCAAGCTACGCCAAGGCAGTGCGCGCACCAGGGCATCAGAGGCGCCAGCCTGGACCCTGGTCAAGCCAACCAACACCATCCGGTGGGAGAGAAACCAGGGAGCCAGAGGGTCGTTCAAGGCTGTGTTTCACCTGCAGGAAACCCGGCCATATTGCCAGATTCTGTCCAGAAGGAGGGAGGAACGCCACAAGCAAGCCTTCTTTAAACGATGGACGCCAGTAAGGAAGGGAGTGCGACTACTGGCGAACACGAGAGCACCCAGGAATAGGCCACGAATCAAAGTTCAGAACAAATTCAGCCCCTTAGCAAATGAGGAACCACGCCTCGAGGAGACCGAAATTCAAGCCTCGCCTGTCAAGCATTCGTCACCTGATACTGTTGGCCGGCCTAATGAAGTAACCGCCAGCACAGGGAGCATTTCCGCCGACAACGAACACGACCTAATGCGCGTCCAGGGTAAGATAAATGGACGTCGCGTTACCATGCTACTGGATTCTGGGTCAACCCACGACTTCATTTCAACTGACCTTGTCAAGAAGCACAACATCTCCACAACAACCGGTAGCGACGTCCTGAACGTCACACTTGCTGATGGATCGGTCCGCTCACAGCCTATTACGAAAACGGACAGCTTGAAGACCGTAGTCGGCGACTTTAGCGAGCACCAACAGTTCCTAGTATTCCCTATGACGTGGTATGACGTGATCCTCGGCAAACCATGGCTGACCCGGACGAACCCACAGATCAATTTTCGTACCAATGAAATCAAGCTGGAGGGTGGATCCATCATCTGTCAACCGAGTGAAAGTGATGGCACGGACAAATCCAACCCACCGATCGAGACGTTCCTCATCTCAGGGAAGCAGGCTAGGCATGCAATGAGAGGTGGCGCAGAAGGAATCCTAGCGTATGTGACAGCAGATCCGGACGAGCCACAGACGGTGGATAGTCCGGGTAGGGAGGATCAGAAGGATTTCAAGGACCTGCTGAAGGAGTTCGGGGACGTCTTTCCCGATGAGCTTCCAAACAAGCTGCCACCCAGAAGAGGCGCAGATCACGAGATAAAAACGGAAGAAGGAGCTAAACCGCCATCTCGTGCAGCATATCGTTTACCAAAACCAGAGATGGATGAGCTGCAAGCTCAGCTCACCGAGCTGCTCCGTAGAGGATTCATCCAGCCCAGCAAATCCCCATACGGAGCCCCTGTGTTCTTCGTAAAGAAAGCGGATGGAACACTTCGAATGGTATGCGACTGGCGTGAGCTAAACCGCATAACCATTAAGAACAAGGCATGCTGTACTAGTATCACGTTGCCACGTCACGTCCTAATATGACGTACTGGCATGTGCTTCAGACTCATTACGTGTGGGTGTGCTGTGCACGCATGCACCCCCTGAGCAGATAGAGCTCTCAACCACGCGGTGTTCAGTGGTTGTAATTATTATTGCAATGGCATGAAGACAGTTTCGACTTTCTATTTCTCTTCCCGTTACTTTAATCCTATCATGCATTCAACTTTGTAAACCATATGAACTGAGTGGGTGTTCGTTGTGTTGGGTGCACTCTGTGTGCGTGCTTGAGATTCTCCGACAACTTTGGTGCCGAAACCCAATGGCATGAAGACAGTTTCGACTTTCTATTTCTCTTCCCGTTACTTTAATCCTATCATGCATTCAACTTTGTAAACCATATGAACTGAGTGGGTGTTCGTTGTGTTGGGTGCACTCTGTGTGCGTGCTTGAGATTCTCCGACAACTTTGGTGCCGAAACCCGTTGGAAGTTCTGAAAGATGGCTTCGAAGTTGGATGGATTTATTCGCCCGTATCGGGGCAAACAGGACGACTTTGATGAGTTCTGGGCTAAGTTTCTGGTCTTAGCCAAGGCCAATAAGTGGGCCGATGACGCTGCCAAGGCTGAGCATCTTCCGTTGTTCCTGAGTGGACAAGCCTTTACGGTTGTCACTCAATTGTCTGACGAGGACAAAAAATCGCCGGCAAAAATTAAATCTGCGCTGGAGCAGGCATTTTGCCCCACGCCTGGTGCTGCCTACCGTTCATTTACGTCAAGGGCTTTGCGGAATGGAGAGCCTGTGGACGCGTACCTGGCAGATTTGAAGCGCCTACTTACGCTGTCTGGCCATAAGATTGCGGATAATTCAGATCCCGTGCTGATTGAGCAGTTCCTGAGTGGGTTGCCAGCTGATATTGGTCACCACGTTCGTATGGCGTCTGCTACGCAGAAGCTCACTGTCACTGATATGGCAAATCAAATCAGAGTCATGCAGGCATCCAAACTCCCAGAATCCCATGGTGCTGTTGCTGCTGCTAGCTCTCAGCCCAAGAAGTCGCTCGTGTGTTACCAGTGTAAGGCCGTGGGCCATGTGAGATCACAGTGCCCGAAGCGTAAGCCCAGTGTCACCTGTTATGCCTGTAAAGCGAAAGGGCATATTTCCAAGGACTGTCCGAACAAGAGTCGAGTTGGAAATGTCGCTGCTGGTCACGCGCCGCCTGAACGTACGGATATTTGCCTTGCTCTGGCAAAATCGGATGGAGACCTAGTTCGTGTAGCCGTGGACGTACAGGAACCCAGTACTGAGTCTAGTACGTGGACGCGTTTTGCCTCTGTGGTGGATTCTGGCTGTACTCGCACACTGGTGGAGTCGGCTGTTGTTGACCGATTGAACCTATCAGCTGCAGTTTCTCCCTGTCAGGACAAGCTGTTGTCTATCGACGGAACACCACTTACTATCCTTGGCAACGTCACGCTACGTGTGCAACGACTTGATGGAGCCGTCCATTTGCCTCGGATCACTATTGATTGTCTCGTTGTGCCCAACTTGTCGTCCTTGAACACGGACTTCCTGATTGGCACAGATACCATTGGCAAGGTCGGTGGCCTCACTCTACGTTACGACGGTCTAGGGGGCACGCTGTCCTCAGTTGTGTTTGGTCAGCAGGCAGGTGTCGCTGCCGGTGCATCTCCCCAACCCGAATCTGAGAAGCCTAACAAGCTTTCTCGTCACATCGATGTTACCGAGTCCGAGTCGACAGTCACCTTGAAGGCGAATGATTGCCTAGCTAACTGGTCGAATGAGCGTGGTCATTGGATTGCTCAGTGGTCGTGGAAGGGTGGCGTTGCACCCGAGCAGCACATTGGTTCCGGCATTGGAGAGTACTCGCGGAAGTCTCTAAGCGTCAGCGAGGAGGAGCAGTTTGCTTCAGAAATGAAGTTGTGGGTGGACAATGGATGGCTTGTCAAGTACGACTCCGAGGCATTCGGAGAGCCTGTCGCTGTCTTGCCGATACTTGCCGTTAGTCAGCAGCACAAGGCATCCACGCCGGTTCGGCCGTGCTTGGACTACCGTGCCCTGAATGCCTGTCTTGTGTCCCACCCCGGTGTCACCGCTCCAGCTTGTGACGCGAAACTCCGTAACTGGCGCAGACGTAGTGCCGACAGCGTTCTTCTCGACATCCGGAAAGCCTACCTGCAAGTTCGGATCCATCCCACCCTGTACAAGTACCAAACCGTTGTGTACAAAGGCGAGTTGTATACCATGACCCGCATGGGATTCGGTCTGAACGTCGCGCCAAAGATCTTGGACATGATTGTCCAATGGATTACCCGTGATCACGCCGACGTTGACAACTATGTGGACGACCTCTACGTCCCTACTGCCCAGACCGACATCGTCCGCCATGAACTCGCCAGCTATGGGCTTGAGACGAAAGAGCCAGAGCAGTTCGCAACTGCTCGTGTGTTGGGCCTACAGCTGTCCTCTTCTGATGTCGAAGATACAGTCACGTGGGAACGTCGTGCTGGTGTTGACCTCAAGTTGCCAGAGTCACCAACTCGTCGTCAAGTGTTCAGTTGGTGTGGCCGTGTGATTAGTCACTACCCGGTATGTTCCTGGTTACGCCCGCTGTGCAACTACATCAAGCGGCTTGTCGGCGAGAACACATCGAAATGGGATGACCTCGTACCGCCTCATCTCGTGCAACCATGTCGTGAGGTCGAGTCTCGTGTCCGTCAAGACGATCCTGTGCATGGTGTCTGGTCTGTGCCCTGTGATGACACCACAGTGTGGCACGTTTGGTGCGATGCTTCTGGCCTGGCCATGGGTGCGGTTCTGGAAGTCAACGGCGCTATCGTCGAAGACAAGTCCTGGCTCAGACCTTCCGATGATAAGCGTCATATCAACATAGCAGAGTTAGACGCCGTCATCAAGTCGCTCAACCTCGCTCTGTGTTGGCCAGTGAAGAACGTGGTCTTGCACACTGATTCGCGTACAGTCCATGGCTGGTTGACGCAGTTGCTGAACAACATTCGTCGTGTTAAAGTGAGTGGCCTTCACGCTACGTTGGTTCAGCGTCGTTTGCAGATCATCGACGATTTGATCACTGTATCTGGCATTACAGTTGACGTTGAATGGGTCCGCTCAGAGGACAATATTTCGGATCAGCTAACCCGTGTCCCTACCTGGTTCCGTGTGCCGGACAGTCCTAAGAAGCCACAGCCTGATGTTGCAGCAGCCGGTGTTACCGTTCGTGCTCTCCCACCTCTTGCTATGGGTGACATCGCCACTGCCCAAGTTGCCGACGAGGCGATCTCGTCCGTTAAGGCCCAGCTTCTCTCCGGTGAACCGATTCCCAACTCCAGCTACAGCAGAGTCCGAACCCAGCTGGTGATTGAGGATGATGTGCTGTTTCGCAGCGTGAAATCGCCTCTCAACGATGTTGAGCTTGTGCCTGCCCTTCCCCAGAGTCTTACTGCCGATGCACTTGCAGTCGCCCATACTGTGAGTGGTCACGCCGGTTGGGAAAGTATGTGGTGTCTACTCCGTAGCCAATGCTATTTCCCTGGTATGGCACAGCGCTGCCGTGACTACGTGTCAGAGTGCACTACCTGCCGTGCGGCAAATCCTGCTCAACCTTGTCTACCGCAACCAACGCGACCTGTAACTCCCGATGGTCCCTGGCGTGTTGTGCAAATTGACACGCTCGAGCTTGGTACCAACAAGTCTGGCCGATATCACTGCGTTCTTGTCTGCATTGACACCTTCACCAAGTGGGTGGAGGTCGTCCCACTTGTTCGCCATGATGCTGAGTCTGTCGCCGATGCATTTGTTAGTGTCTGCACTCGGTGGGGTCCTCCCCATGTTATCCGCTCCGACAACGGCACCGAGCTTCACAATGCCCTGATGTCATCCCTCTACAAGGTATTTGGGGTCAACGTGTGTTTTGGCGCAGTTCGCCACCCCCAATCGCAAGGTGCCGCAGAACGGTTCAACCAAACGCTGTTGACCTTGGTGCGGAAGGTCCTCGACGAGTCCAGTGATTGGCAGGTTGACCTAGCTATGCTCCTGTACTTCTACCGCAACAGGCCCCACAGTGTCACCGGTGTCTCACCTATGCAAGCAATGGTTGGCTGGCAGCCCCGCAGTCTCGTGGTGGATGCTACCCCAACAGATTGGTCGTTTCCCCGCTGGACGGAGGAAATACAGCGTCGCGCCTCAGCCATGTACGATCTCCTGGAATCAGAGTTGTCGTCCTGCGATTTTGTCGAGGAGCCAACTCAAGCGTTCTTGGCTGGAGAGTCTGTTCTCTTCCGCCGTCCACACCGGCACCAGAAACGACTCCCCGAATTCGAAGAAGGTTGGATCGTCAAGCGAGTCGTTGGTCACTCAACTGTCGTGATTGGCCGTGGCACAGCAGAAAAACTCGTCAACACAGAGCTGCTGAAGCCTGCTGGAAGTCATTCCAGTCGTATCCCTGAGCCACTAGATGTAGCTAGTATTATCGATGACGAGCCGTTGGACCATGTGCCTTTGGCTGGTGTACCTGATGACACCGCTGGTGGTCGTCTTCTCCGCGACAGAGCCCTGCTCCGTGAGCCTAGTAGGTATGGCTCTTGAGACCACTATGTTCTCTGCTTTGTCCGAGTTTGGGTCTGACTCGTGACTCTAATTCGTGTTTTGGCCGTCTCTGACGATTGACGTTTAATAGTGTGTGTCATAAATTTGGTTCTTTTGTTTTGTTTTCTCAATTTATTGGCTCCTATTCTGCGATAATTGGTACTGTTTTTTTATCTTCTTCTCCTCATTTTTAGTGACAATTGTCACTAGGGGGCATGTACTAGTATCACGTTGCCACGTCACGTCCTAATATGACGTACTGGCATGTGCTTCAGACTCATTACGTGTGGGTGTGCTGTGCACGCATGCATGCACCCCCTGAGCAGATAGAGCTCTCAACCACGCGGTGTTCAGTGGTTGTAATTATTATTGCAATGGCATGAAGACAGTTTCGACTTTCTATTTCTCTTCCCGTTACTTTAATCCTATCATGCATTCAACTTTGTAAACCATATGAACTGAGTGGGTGTTCGTTGTGTTGGGTGCACTCTGTGTGCGTGCTTGAGATTCCCCGACAATGCCTACCGAATATTGACGACCTCTTTGATACCGTCCAAGGCAGTGCGTATTTCACCAAGCTAGATCTGAGGTCCGGTTACAATCAGATTCGAATAGAAGAAACAGATATTCCGAAGACAGCAATAAATACCCCATTCGGTCACTTTCAGTTCACAGTGATGGGTTTCGGCCTAACAAATGCCCCGGCAACATTCCAAACCTTGATGAACAGTGTCCTCCAGCCATACCTGCGTAAATTCGTTGTGGTGTTTCTAGACGATATCCTCATATTCAGCAAATCATGGGAGGAGCACCTCGATCATGTCAGAACCATCTTAAACGCCCTCAGGAGGAATGAGCTATATTGCAAACCGTCTAAATGTGAATTCGGCCGGACAGACGTTCTGTTTCTTGGGCACCGGATAGACGGCCAATGCATTTCTCCAGATCCAGAGAAGATCAAGGCCGTGCATAACTGGCCTGTCCCGACGACGGTCACGCACGTAAGACAGTTTCTGGGATTCGCTAATTACTTTCGAAGGTTCATTAACCATTTCTCGGCCATCTCCAAACCCCTGGAGGAACTGACAGGGAAACATGTGCGCTTCGAGTGGAAGCAGACTCGACAGGAGGCATTTGAGCGATTGAAGTCTGCTCTGCTGGATGCACCAGTGTTGCGACTAGCAAACGTCAGTCAGGATTTCCGCGTTGAGACTGACGCAAGTGACTTTGCTGTGGCAGGAGTCTTAACGCAGCAAGCAGAGGACCAGTCCTGGCATCCTGTGGCTTACGTGAGCCGAAAGCTGTCTTCTGCCGAACGGAATTACACGGCCGCCGAGCGAGAAACTTTGGCTGTAGTGTACGCCCTGCAGTGCTGGCGAGTCTACCTATTTCGCCACTTTCAACTCTACACCGACAACATGGGAGTTGTCTACCTCAGGACCAAACCAAACTTAACCAAGAGAGAGGCTCGATGGATTGAATTCCTGGCCGACTATGACTACACGGTACATCACAAGCCAGGGAAGTGTAACATAGCAGACCCGTTGTCACGTCGACCAGACTTGGAACTGAATGGAATCGAGTTCTCTCTGGATGTGAATCAAGGAATTGCGAATCAGATCTCAGCAGGGTATGATAGTGACCCAGAGCTTTCGCCAGTAATCAAGCGCTTGATGGCTTGCAGCAAAGACGCCATGCATGAGCGATACGTCTGGAACAGTGTGGACCGGCGGCTGTACCTAGTAACATCGGGCGATGCTCGCCTCTGCATTCCTCGCGGTCCGGTACGGCTGCAACTGCTCAAACAGAATCATGATTGCCTGACGGCCGGCCATCCGGGGAGAGACAGGACCTACCTGAAGCTGAGCAGATACTTCTATTGGCCAGGCATGAGAAGTACTGTGAAGGACTTCGTTAAATCTTGCGACCGGTGCCAACGCGTAAAGGGTAGCCAGACCAAGGCAGGACTGTTGCAGTCCCTTCCAGTCCCCGAACAGCCCTGGACAGACATCAGCATGGATTTCATCATGGCACTGCCGCTGACCTGCCGAGGACATAGCGCCATTCTAACCTTTGTGGACCGTCTGACGAAGTATGTGCACCTGATCCCGACGACTGTTCATGTTGACTCTAAGGAGGCAGCCCGATTGTACGTGGATCATGTGTTTGCTGCCCATGGCTTGAGCAAAACGATAGTTTGTGATCGAGATCCGCGATTCACGTCGGCGTTCTTCAAGGAGGTTTTCAGTATTCTTGGCGTGGAGCTAAAAATGAGCACGGCCAACCACCCGCAGACCGATGGCATGACTGAGCGTGTGAACCGTGTCATTGAGGATACGCTAAGAGCTTTCGTCAACCATAGGCAAAACAATTGGGATGAACTCCTATCGCTATGTGAGTTTGCGATCAACAATGCCGATCAAGCGTCAACAGGTAACACGCCATTTTTCCTCAACCATGGATGCCATCCAGTTACTCCCTCGAGCTTATTGACGAAGCAGAAAGCTGGAGCTGGCATGGACACGAATGGTCCGCTGTCATGGCTGGATGGCCGCGTAGAGGCACTACGTGAGGCACAGGATGCCATCGTGGCGGCGCAGGCCCGGCAATCATTGTATGCGGATCGAGGACGGGTGGAGGACGCCCTGAAGGAGGGGGATGAGGTGTTGGTCTTCAGGGACTTCCTGCTGACGCCCGAGGAACGAGACAGGCCTTCACACAAATTAAGGCTCAAGTGGTATGGGCCGTTCAAGGTGCAGAAGAAAGTGGCCCCGAATGCGTACAGATTAGCTCTTCCAAGAATCATTCGGGCCCATCCAGTGTTCAATATTGCTGCCCTCAAGCTGTACCATGGCAATGAGATACCGGGCCGTACTCAGCCGGCACCTCCACGCCTAACCGATGCGGATGGCCATACGCGGTACATTGTCGAAAAGGTGTTGTCGCACAAGAAGAGAGGACGGCGCACGCAGTACCTAGTGAAATGGAAGGGCTACCGAGATGCCACCTGGGAGCCGGAGGAATACTTGATGGATGAAGCAGGAAACGCTATTATTCCGCTGAAAACCTACCTGGACCGTTTTTCATAAAATTGCTATTTAATTGGCAGCCACAGTTGTATTGCTAGTTCTACGTGTTGCAATAGAAATGTAGCATTCTGCATGATTAGGATAGTGCTTCCCTGCCAGCCAGGCGTTATTTGCAGAGGACATGCACTGGATCTTGAGTTCATCAGTGTTGTTTTCGGCTACCATGCATTCCACATATCCATGCATGATCATTAGTTACCATAACTGTTCCTTCGAATTGGTACTGTTCTGACAGTTGAGAGGGGGGAATGGTGTAACAGATTCACTGTTACTACTAACACTAGGAATAGGATACACTTATCACCTGCTATTATCACGCTGCTGCTGTTAGGTGTTATGTCCATCATTGCTTGTTCATGTATATAAGAATGCATTATGGCAAGGATCATTGCTTATTCCAAGAATGACTACTGAAGTTAGCTTGTTTCCGCATGGACCACAACATTTTTCGAATCTCGCGGCAAAAAAACAGATTTCGGAGGTGCCCTTTTTACACTGCGCTGCGCAACTGTTCGGAGCCTCCTTAACGGTTAATCCAAAACTTATCGATTACTTTAATATCGATTATTTACACGACAACGCACGGCCAGTTTTCCGTTTTCAGTCCCGCATTTCTTTTTTCGTTTTCGTACGTTTACACGATCAAAGCCGATCCGAGGTGGTCTCCGTTTGTACCGTTTTCAAGCGTCTACACGAGAGCAAAGGATCCGCCAAAGTTCGTCATGTGCCAAGTGTTGCCGTGGAAGCACCAATCACACTCAAGTAATGGTTGAAAACAGGCACACGACAACACACGTCACATGACGAAAATTGTAAAAACAATTTTTTGGATTGTCGGATCCGTGTAAACGGCCGAAAACGAAACAAACGTGACGGAAAACGAGGCCAGCACACCGTTTCGACTGTTTACACACCCAAATTTATCCGGCAGAACATTTCCGTTTTCAAATTCTTCCACCTTGGCCAGCGTTTTGGTTTTCTTCCGTTTTGGTGTACAACTTTTACGTTTTGCTCCGCGTACCGTGTAAATGAACCATGGATCCGAAAGGATTTCGTTGCGTTTTCGCCCCCAGCGTTGTCGTGTAAACGCAGCCTAAGGCTGTGTTTACATGTAGAGGATATTACCCAAGTACGAGGGTGTTACCTCCCGAATATCATCCCGACTGCGTAGCAGGAGGGATGATATGAGGGTACGGTAACACCCGAGTACGCGGGTCAATATCCTACTTATCCCAGGTACATCTACGCATTTTGGGGATCGACGCAACTGCGTTCTGAATACAATTACCAAGGTACAGCTATACCAAAAACAAAATGTTGCCTTTCTTTTCAATCCAGTCAAGGTTTGAGAGCGATGGAGCTCGGGAGACAAGTTGCATTTTAGTAGTTGGACTAGAGAATTGACGAAGATTGCACTGTTATGATACATAGTCAATTGGTTCAAAGTAAGGGCCATACTTCAAGTCACGACGAGATACCACGTCATTATGGATGCTGGTGCTGACTTCCTTGTCATTGGATCGGCTTAGAACTTTCAACGGTTTGGGATCCTTGCTGAACACTGTCTGTGCAGGCAGTAACACATTGTACATATCGTCGGACATTGGCACCAGTGAGTAAAGTGCATTTCGTTGAATCAAGACTCTTCGTTGTATCACTATCGGCCACTATGCAATCAGAAAAACGTTGATCTTGTTATATTATAGGCATACTGGATTTGTAGCAGCATCTACGTTTTACATTGTTCTTGTGGTAATCGTACTGGATACAGTGTCATGATAATCACTGCAGGTCGCATCTTGCATCCATATCTTATCTACATCACACATATGGATTGCTGAGCTCTTCTTTCACACTGTTGAATATTCTGTACAAGATTTTTCCTCTCACTTTCACGTCTTGTACTTTTCG